CTCCTTGTTACTTTGTCAAAAAATTCCAACAAGTTAGTCAGACATTATCTTCTTGACAAATCTATCCCATCCAAAGTGAGTTTATTCTGATGTTCCGAATGGATTCCAACAATACGTCCACCACTGAGATTAGACTGGTCTGCAATAAATTGGTCTATCCTTCACTCCCTTCTGAAACCAAGGTAAAATATTAACAGTCCTCCAATCATCTGGCATTATACTTGAAACTCAGCAGGTCTGGCATCATCTGTGAAGAGAAAGCACAGTTAACGTTCAGGTCAAGTGACCTTTCTTCAATCAGGATTGAAAAATGAAGGTCAGATCATCCACTCTTTCCTCTCTGGCTTCTGTTAATAGCCTCTGGTATGCTTCACCTGGTGCTGGTGATTCAACACTTCCATGGACACTAATGCCATTAATTCGTCCTCTCTCACATTTGTGATTTGGAGATGCTGGTGTTGGACTGGGGTGGACAAAGTCAGAAGTCATATGACACCAGGTTATAGTTCAACAGGTTAGAAACACAAGCTTATGGAGCGCTGCTCCTGACTTCACCTGACGAAGGAGATACATTCCGAAAGCTTGTGATCTTAAATAAACCTGTTGGACTATAAGCTGGTATCATGTGACCTCTGACTTTCTCATGTTTATCGCATCCAATACTATACATTCTCCAACTACAATAACTGCATCATCTCCTCTTTTGTGAGGAGACACAAAATATTCATTAAGAACCGTACTAATTTCTTCTGCCACCAGACTTGGGTTACATTTTTCGTTTTTTTGAGAGTCCTACTCTTTCCTTAGTTACCCTCTTACTCCTCATGTATTGCTTGCTAATATCTTTTCTTACCTCTCTACCATCCTAATTTTATTTGATGTCACACCTCCAGTTTCTAATAATTGTCTTGAAATTTTGAAATACTCAGTTCTCAATGTCACATATAACCTTTTCTATTCTGCCTTGTCTTGTCCTGCACATTCTTGATATCCAGGGGCCCATAGATTTAGACATCCTACACTTTTCTTTCCAGGAACATGTTCACCCTGAATCTTCTGAATCTCTATTTTGAATGTCTCCCAGTGGTCTGACGTTACTTGAAAATAAATCCAACAACTCTGCATGCTGGAAATCCAAAACAAAAACAGAAATTGTTTGGGAAACTCGGCAGATCCAGCAGCATCTCTGGAGAGAAAACAGTTGACACTCATGTTCAGTGACCCTTCCTCAGAATATTGGCTGTCTTCTCTCCACAGATGCTGCCAGACCTGCTGAGTTTCTCCTGCAATTTGTTTTTGCTTACTTTCAACTAGTTGTTTCCAGCACACGTTTTGTTAAATTACATTCATTTTACTAGAGTGATCTTGCGTGAGTTCTATAGAACTCATGTTCTATCTTTGTCCTGGCCCATAATTGTTAGGACTAACAGAATTATGATCACTACTACTAAAACACTCTCCTTCTGCTACTGTTTCTACCAGCCTACCTTGATTTTATAAAATGAAGTACAAACCTGCACCATATTTTGTTGGACTTGCTGCATAGAGGCCAAAAACAATTATTTGAAAGCACCTCACAAACTCTGCTCCCTCGAATCCTTTCAGATGAAAACTATCCTAGTTAACATTGAGAGGCTATTTTAGCTAATCACTTCCCTTGTTTTGCCCTTGTATTCCTCAAAGATTTACCTATATTTTTGCTCTTCTAGCTCATCTGAATGTTTGGGATTTACAGTACACTTGGTGTAACTGCTTCTTTTTCAAGCTTCAGCACAATCCGTGTGTCTTCATTTGATAACCTTCCTAACATATCCTCTCTCATAATAGTTGTAACTGGTTCTTTGACCAAAATTGCCTCTTTTTCTCATTGCCCCTTCTACCTCGCTTGAAAATCCTGTACCCAGGATTGTTGATCTTTCATTCCTGTCCCTCCTTAAGCCATATTTCTGCAATAGCAGTAACAACATACTGTTATGTTTTTATCTTTGCCCTCAGCTTATCTGCTTCATTTGCTACGCTCCTTACACAGAAGTAGCTGCCCTTGCGCACTGCAATACACTTTTTCTTCCCCCCACCACCTTTGTTTTCTCTGCCTTCTAGATTCATCCAGCAATTTTTTGCGGTCCATTTTCACTTTAGATTTTGTCCCAACTGAATCTACTCTTTGCTTCTCAACCCCCTGCCAAACTAATTTAAAGTACTGAGCACAATATTGTAAGGTGCAAATATCCTTTAGCACAACAAAGCCATTTCATTAATATTTTTCAAAGCGATTGCAAAGTCATGACCTGACCTCATGACATTAAATTAGAATCCAACTTGACAATAATGTGATTAATTCCTCATGGTTTTTTGATGTTTGGAAAAACTAAACTGGTGTAACCAATCTTACAATTTAAAACTGAAGTAGGTGTGAAATGTATCAAGAGGCAATCTGCAATACCCACAAACTTAAAAAGCACGTTACTTTGTTCTTTCATTATACAAAATAACTGTATCCCATCATGTTCAGTTGCCATGTTATTCCCTCTAGTGTTAAATTTCCTTAAAAACAATTATTCAGACAATAATTCAGGATTATTTCAGAATTAGTGCTTATGAAATAAACACCGCTTCCATGACATTAATATGTAATCTAAGTTGCAGCACTTGAATTACTAAGGAATTCAATGGTTTTTAAAGCACAGGAAACTAGTTTGAATTAATGGGATTAGTGACATGAGGCTAACAACACAGTGCTGAGAATGAGGAGCAAGTGCTGGTGGTTGACAAAAGAAAATAACAATTAGAAGTTTCATGACATTTAGGGGCTGGAGATAGGTAAATTAGAGGCAAAGTTTTAAACATGCATCAAGGGTTGGGAAGCAAACGAGGTCCATCCATTACAACTGGTGAGACAAGAGAATGAGTCAAAAGAGGCAGAGGAGTGGCAGAATTGGGCATCTATCTTATGTGCAGAAATTGTCCCAGATCTGTAATGTCACTGCAGAATAATATGTAGCTAAGGATGTTGTGGGTGGTGAAGGAAAGGGAAGGATTAAATATTAGGAACTGGTGGTGAATCTTCAGGGATGAGAAAATAACATTTTACTGAGTATATTCTAGTTGGTTTCAGATGTCTCCCAGATCTCCTAAGCATGGAAATAGGAGTTAAAATCCTTATGGAGCATTTGTTCCAAAATCTGCAATTGATTTTTATACCACAGATTAGTCATTTCAAATTGTCATTTGAGAACACAACTGACAGGATCAACACCCACTGTCACAGCTTGTATTCTAAATGATTCCAATTATTTGGTCCATTTGTACACATCTAAACCTGAATCCTCACATTTGTTTATATATACTATTGCTGCTAGCTATTAAGGCAGCCCTTCATAATAAGCTAGTAACAGACATGCTGTCATGTTGTAGCCTTTGCATAAGATGTATGACATCAGATGATAGCATAACTTCAAGTTACGATTCTTACAATTATCATGTTTGTGCAATTGTTTGGACATTTACTTTCCATATGTTGTGAAAGTGATCGCAAAGGTTTTATATAGATGAAAAATCATTCATTCCTCTATGCCCTTTTGTCTAATTTCTCATGTAAATTTCTGTTCAAATTATTTTATTTGAGTTTATACTCAGATTACACTTGTGAAACCACCAATAAACTCCTCCACAATTATGAACATTGAACTTCTTACGCAGCTTTATGTTATTTTCCTTTATCAGTATTGTCCTTGACTAGTTATTACTCTTGTTCCAATGCAACTAGCACATCATAGCTTTTTTAAAAAAATCCTGCAGTTCCTACAGGGTCATTTGAGGTGTCCTCAGGATCCACCCCTGGCCTTTCTTCCTTGTGTGAACTGCAAGTTCATGGCATCACCAACAAAATTGGAGCGTATATCCATATGTATGTCTTTGATACTCAATTCTGTTTCCTCACCATTTTACTTGACCACAACATTATCTCTGTGCTTTGCGATGGACCTGATACATCTATCCCCCAGCTGGAGCTGACATCCCCTTCCTCATTGGACCTGGAACTACCTCCTATGCCAGACGTGAAAGCACCCACCGCCCGATCAGACCAAAGGCAAAAATGCACCAGGACTCTCTACATAATCTGGATAACCATGTGCAGGAAGTAGCCCTTTTTGCTTGAATTCAAGGTTTGGACCTTGAGAAATGGCTTGAATAATCGGAGGCCATAGGGTCCACTTTTGTATAGGGAACAAAAATTCTCTAAAGCTTTAAGATGTTAAAAAGATTATTCGTAATCCAACATCTATTGCCCATTAGCAATTGTGGACTTATTGTATGAAGAACGTAATGGCAAGAAAGTAAGGGTTATTACTGGAGTTAAGAGCTTCAAAGGCAGTAGTGAAGAAGTGACTGAGTAGATTGATAACTGCAAATGCATTCTGGCAGAGAGTAAAAGTGAAATAGTTGGCAGTTTAAAAGCAACTTGGTCAAAGTTTTTTGAAGGACGAACACAGAAAGAAGTAGGAGGAAGATGATGCAACTGTTGAGTGATATAAGGAAGTGATCAGAATTAGCTTCATCTGTGACCGAGGCAGTGGATATAAAAATAGGCCACATGAAATGGCAAGGTTGGGAAAATGTCCATAAGTAGTTAAGCATGTTTTTCGTTTCTTGCCTCATTTTGTGCCCTTGCATTGATGAAGGAAGGTAATACTATTTTAAGGAGCCTTAATTTATAATGGTTTTCAGGATGTTGGTAACAGCAAAGTGAGCATAAATACAAAATGAATCAATTTCAACTTTTAAATGGCTGCAGTTGGTAGCCTTTTTATGCAAGCAGTACCATATTCCTCAAATTTTATCTTATAGTTTTTCACTTTTTCAGGATATATTAGAAAGTTTGAGATATTAACTACTGAGGATTAAATGCCAGAATATGTTCAGATTACATATCATATACCCACTAAAATAAACTTTTCCATGAAAAGAGTCGTAGTTTATATTGTTATCACAAAACAGACCTGCAAGGCTGTCTGGTCGTGGTGGAACCATCCTCTCATAGATTTCTGGTGACTGCAGACAATAAAAATCAGCATCAATGGCATGAGATCTTTGCAGCGGTGCTGCCATACGTTGAGGAACAGCAGTCATAGTAGACCGTGCAGGAGATGATGATCCGGTTTGAGCTTGGGGTGGAGAATTTATTCTTGTTTGTGCATTTGCCAAAGAGAGAGGTGAACCCAGTCTCAACGAAGAGCCTAAAGTCTGGAATGGAGAGGTGGCTCTGCTGGAGTTAGTGGGTTGTCTTGTAACTGAACCAATTCGTCTAATTGTAGCTGGTGATGTAGATCTCTGCGGAGTATGTGGAGAGCCTGCTCTCTGAGCTGGCAATGTAGAGGACAAATAAACTGCAGAGTTATTGGACCGAGGTTCAGTTGATGCTGGTGACCCATAAGCACTCCCAAGAGATGTTCTGAGAGATCCCCTTGACGGTGACATTCCAGTACCATAAGCTGGTGATTGTGTTCTAGAAGGAACTGAACTAACTCTTCTCATTGCCCTACTGGTTGTAACAGCAACATTCATTGGACCCTGTTTAAAAAAAAAAGTTAATGTCACCATTTCAAAAAGATAAAGATGAATGCATTGATATTACGCCTGGTCAAAAGGTATTTGGGATTCACAAAGAAAAAGATTCCTCTTATATAATCCCAACATCACTACTTACATTTTATGCTTGATAAGGTGGAATGTCATCTAAAGACAATGTTTACATGCCATCAATTTCACTCTGCGAAAATTTGTTTCCAAAGCTGAGCAATGCAGCAAAGGGATTTTTTGCATAAGTTTCTTCTATATTATCCCAGCCATCAGCAAGATTGACAATTCACCCACATGGGGCTGGAAGAAATTTTGAATTTTTCTCTATTTTAATAATAAATTTGAAATCAGACATTGGATTCACAGGCCTTGTGCCATCCTGTTATTTCAAAACATCAGCAAAGTCAAAGTAAAATACAGAATCCATAAACATGAATGAAACTAAATTAATTCAAAGTTCAAGAAGAAAACATAAACAGTGCATGTTCAAGTTGTGCCATGGAGGGAAAAGGAAGAATAACAATTTCCAAATTCGCAATCTCACCCACACTGCTGTAGGAAGACACCAACCAGAAATAAATCACTTCATCATTGGATGGGAAAAACCAGAAATGTCAGTTGCTCTTCCTAACAAGATGTTTGCAGAAACTTTGGTTTGTAGCCCAGGGAGAAAAGAAGTCTGCCCTCGCCCACCTACTAATGCTCTCATAGAAGAAACTTTCTCATGCACTTCAGAAGGTTTATGTAACATTTGAGTATTGGTATTTCTAAGTGTATTGTTACAAATGTATGTGTTAAGATTATGTACTGAAAACAACAAATGCTGGAGGTCACAGCAGGTCAGACAACATCCACGAACAGAGAGCAAGCTAATGTTTCAAGTCTAGATGCTCTTCATCAGAGCTCTGGATCGAAAAGTTAGCTTGCTCTCTCTCCATGGATGCTGTCTGACCCACTGTGATCTCCAGCAGTTGTTTTCTGCACAGATTCCAGCATCTGAAGTAATTTGCTCCTACATGCGTTAAGATTATTTTCATCTTAGAAATTGCAATTCTTACATGTAAAATAAATGAAAGGACACCTAGTCTGATGAGAATGCAGACAGGCCAGGTAATTACAGTTCAAAGGCAGGCCGAAATTAACGTTAACAATGCCATCATATAAGGTGTCAAAGTTAAACAACGAAGGCCTCACTAACTGTCTCTCAAGGATCTAATTTGTCTGTGAGGGGTTATATTAATCGTACAATTTCTTTGGATTAGTAAAGATTGAAGGTAATTATTTAACAGGGCAAGGTTTTAAACTACACTTTTCAGAGGAAACCTTTGAAATTAAAAGATAATGAAGTATGGGTGGGTTTGAAATTTTTTTTGGCTGTCAGTCTATGAGGTGGTAAGTCAAAACAGCAGCTTGGAGAAGGTAGAGGCAGCAGCTAGAACAAAGAACAGAGGGCCATCAGGAATTGGAGTGATTTTGTTTTGGAGTCACTATGCAAAGATGCAAACAAGTCCCACGCTCAGGGTGTTGAAATCCAAATGTGAGAGATGTTGAAGTAGGGCTGGAAGATTTGCCTATCTGGATGCTCGTAGGAGTTTTCGTAGGACAGCTCTCACTTTGAAGCAAAGAAAAGGAGAAAAACCACAAAGTGAATCACTGGCAGCCAAGGCACATTACACTGGGCTGGGTCCAGGAAAACTGAATGGACACAAGAATCTGAAAACTTAAAAGGTACCATGGTTAAACCTGAAAGGGGATCAGGTCAGGGCCATTACGAATGTTTTGTTTAAAGTGTAAGTATTTGAGATAAATAGTGTTTGTTCTTGTTTGATTAGTAAATAATTTTTGTGGAAGGCTGTAGCAATCTTTTCAGTTAATCACTGGGAATTGAATTTATTTTTATAGGTTTAGAAGGGTCTAGGCCCGAAACGTCATCTTTCCTGCTCCTCTGATGCTGCTTGGCCTGCTGTGTTCATCCAGCTCTACACCTTGTTATCTCAGATTCTCCAGCATCTGCAGTTCCTACTATCTCTCCCCAACATACAAAGAGACTTAGTTTTTAGAAAATAATTATTTTTTGGAACCCAAAAATCCACAGGATGCTCCTATAAACATGTAGGCCAGAAGTAAATGCATGGCAATTAGGCCACAAAGTGGATGTGAAAAGACTTTGCCCGAGATGCCACTTTCTGTGGGCGTTTGTCTTTTTACTTCAAATATGCCTCTCCACAGAGTAGGAAAAGGGGAGCCCATGGCTTCCTTGGACAGAAATATGCCTGGTGGCTGTTCTGTCCACTAAAGTCCACCTATTTGGTGGACTAGAACAAGAAAAGTGAGCACCTTGTTCTTCAGATCTATATCCTGCAAACTAAAAGGCAGGAATCAACTGATAGAATTCAACCAAAGATTGGTGGGCCCGAGACTTCTGGGCACTAGCAGAGTAATAGTTCTTAATTTTCATCCCTTGCTATGGCAGCTACCCAAGTGTTTACCAAGAGTGAAAAGGGCACCTATCTGAAATATCTAAAATGAGACATTGCAATTAAACCATATCTGTTTGGCTAAGAAAATGAAATTTATGATAAGCCCATCCCAATGCATATGCCAGAAGCAAAAGTTTGTGAATGATTTTTGCCTGTACAGCTTAAAATGCCAACAGTATAGAAGAGATTGAGATGATGATTGTGGAGAAGTTAATTTAAGCCATCAGCTTCCTGAAAACGTAGTACCTGGCCAACAGTCTGTCCCTCTGGCCTTGAATTTCGCACTAGGTGATTACTGTTGGTGCTGCTCTGAACAGATTCCTGTAGGTTTCTTGCGTTAGGCTTGATCAAGTTCTGGCTGCTATAATAACTGCCTGCAGTCTCCTGGTAACCACTATCAGAATAGGAATTCATTTGTGTGGAGCTTCGTGAGTTTCCAATAGATCCTGTACAGTTGGAGCAGACAGGTATAGCTTGTTATAATACAGCTGATTTGAGGTAAACGTCAAAGTACATTTTATTTTGGAACAGGCTTTTCAAAACAGACGATGTGAAAAAGTTGGTGTTGGTACAAATTGAAATTCATATACAACAGACCCTCACTTTCATGAAGAGAAGTTTGTTCAAGTGCGGGAGTTGGTAACTTTTCACAGCCTGCTTCAACATTAAAGGATTGGGGTTGAATGTTTTCAGTAACTCTGCGTCTATTAATTCCTCCTATTGGGTCATCTGTAAAAAAAAAAGTTAGTTGCTTTAGAATTCATTTCAACAGTAAAAAAAAAACTCTTTCAATTAAGACGTATTTTTTCCTGTAAAAAGCTAGCTAATTGCAATTTGGTAACTACACTTCGGACCACATCCTCCAACGGGGATGTATGGTCTGCTTCTGTCTTGGAAATACTATGTAGTCAGCAAATTAATATGATATAATTCAAACAAGGATACGCAGAATCCTATGGCCATGGACAAACCACCTCAGATGTAAGACAGCATGTTTGGAAAAACTGGAGGCTTTAACATAGGAACCAATTTATTTTACCAAGATTTCTGCTGGGGCCAAATAATAAATGCAATTTGGAAGAATAAAAATGGCCAACCCGAATCAAATTTGGGCAAACTTCAGCACAACACATTTTGAAATAAAAAAGATTTTTGGCTGCCCATTGCCTAACCCGCAATAAAAGCTCCCCATCAATAGACAAAATTCACTCCACACATATTACCTATCACATTGCAAATAGCTATTAAAAAAGGGAAAGATGACACTGGTAGTAGTAGTCTATAGGCCTCCTGACAATAGCTACACTGTGGGTCAGAGAATAAGTGAGGAGGTCAGGGCATGTAACAAAGGAAATACATTGATCATGGCTGACCTTTATCTTCATGTGTATTGGGGCAGCCAGATTGGCAGATGAAGCCACGAAGAATTCATAGTGTATTCAGGACAGTTTCCTAGAACAACAACAACAACTGATGGATCCAACCAGGGACTAGGCTACTTTGGATTTGGTGATGTAATGAGGCAGGCTTAATAAATAATGTCATAGTAGAAGATCCCCCAGGAAACAGTGACCATAACATGATAGAATTCAACACTGAATTTGACAGTGAGGAACTTAGAACACAGAACAGCACAGGAACAGGCTCTTTGGCACACCATGTCTGTGCCAAAACCTGGGTTGGAGACAAAGGTGCTAAGTTTAAATAAGGGGAATTACAAAGAAATGGTGGCAGAGCTAGCTTCAATGGACAGGGAAAGGAGTTTAGTAGCAAAGATGGTTGAGGAACAACGACAGTTATCTAAGAAAATAGTTCACGACTCACAGCAAAGATACATCCCAATGAGGAAGAACGATTCTAAGAAAGGGATAAGCTAACCATGGTTAATTAGGAAAGATACGGATAGTATTAAATTGAATGAAAAAATTACAAAATGGCCACAATTAACGATAAGCTAGAGGATTGGGAAAGTTTTAAAAACCAAAAGATGGCAAAAACAGGTAGAAAATAAACTCTGAAGGCAAACTTGCAAGTAATATCAAGACGGATAGCAAGAACTACATTAAATTTTAAAAAAAGTAAGCAAGAAACCAAAGTGAACATAGGTCCTTAGAGAATGAGGCTGAGGAATTAATAATGGGGAGCCAAGAAATGGCAGAGGAGTTACCAAATAAGCAATTTGCATCAGTATTCACAGTAGAAGAAATTAACAGTATTCTAAAATTACTAAATAATTGAAGGGCAAATGAAATAACTACAATAATTATCACTGGAGAAAAAGTGTTATGAAAAGTTAGTGGGGTTCAAGACTAATAAATCCCCTGGACCTGATGGAATGCACCCTTGGAAATTAAAGGAAGTAGCTACAATTATAATGGAAATATCAGCAGTAAAATCTTCCATATATTCTCAGATTCTGGATAAGTTATAGAGGATTGAAAAAAAATGCTAATGTAAAACAGTTATTTAAAAAAAAGGGAAGGAGTCCAAAATAAAGGGTAACTATAGGCCAGTTAGTTTAATGTATTTTCGTTTGAAAATGTTAGAGTCTATTCTAAAGGATGTAATTGCAGGGCATTTATAAATACATAATATGATTAAGCGGAGTCAACATGCTTCATGAAGGGGAAATCATGTCTAACAAATTTAGTAGAATTTTATGACGAGGTGACAAGCTGGATAGATAAAGAGGAAGCAACGGATGTAATATATTTGGAACTTCAGACAGGTTTGAAAAGGTACTGTACTTCAGGCTACTTAATTAAGAGCTCCTGGTGTTGGAGGTAGTATCTTCACATGGATATTGGATTAGCTAACTAATAATAAAAAGGGAGTTGAGATAAGGAGGCTTCTTCAGAATGGCAACTTGCAACTGGACTGCCACAGCGATCAGCACTGGGGCTCCAATTACTTATAATACATTTTAGTTTCTTCATCCAAGTCATGAACATGTACTATTGCCAAGTTTGACACTAATAGATGGGATGGCAAGTCGTGATGAAGACAGAAAGAAAGAGTTTGCAGAGGAACATGAACAGGTTAACAGATTAGGCAAAAAACTTGAAGATGCGAGGTTATGCAATTTGGCAGGAAGAATAGAGGAAAATATTATTTAAATGTAAAAATGGGCAGCAGAAGCTATGGAACAAAGAGATTGGACAGTCTTCGTTCATGAATCACAAGACATTCAGCATGTAATATGGAAGGCAAATAATGTTGGCCTTGATTTCAAGTGGAATGGAGTATAAACATTGGGGTTAAGGGGGGGGGGGGGGGGGGGGTTGTTTTGCCAAAACTATACAAGGCACGAATCAAACCACAGCTGGAATACTGTGGACAGTTTTAGGCTTTTATCTAAGCAAAGATTTATTGGCATTGGAAATTGTCCAGGGAAGGTTGGTTGGTTCTCGGTATGGTCCTTGTCTTAGGAGAGGTTGAGTATGTTAAGCCAGTACTTTTTGGAATTTATAAGAATAAGGGATGACCTTGCTGAAACATACAAGATGCCTAGTGATTGATACGGTAGATACAGAAAGGTTGCTTCCCTTTGTGGCAGAGTCTAGAGCCAGAGTACATAATCTCAGAATAAAGACAGAGAGGAGGATAAATTTATTCTTTCAGGAGGTGGTAAATCTGTGAAATTATTTACCGCAGAGGCTTGGTTTTCAGGCAAATACAAAGCCGAGATAGCTATTTTTTGTCAATTAGGGAATCAGGTGTTATAGGAAAAAGCAGGAAAGTGTCATGGCTTACAATGAAGTCATGGGCAGCATAAAAGCAAAGAAAAAGCATACCATTTGGTGAAGATTAGTGGGAAGCCAGAGGACTGGAAAGTGTTTAAAAACCAGCAGAGAATAACTAAAAAGAAAAAGCAATAAGTGGGGAGATGATGAAATATTGTAAGTGAGCTAGCAATATTGAAGAAGATTGCAACAGTTTTTATTTAAGATAGATAAAAGGCAAGAATAGACACTGAGCTACTGGAAAATGAGGCCAGAGTAGTAATGAGGAACAAAGAAATGATGGAGCAACTGAAGAGGTACTTTGCAACAACCTTCACAGTGGAGGCATCAGTGACAAACCAGAACTTCAAGAGGGTCAAGAAGCAGAGGTGAGTGTAGTGGCTACCAATAAGCAAAGTTGTTGGGAAGCTGAAAGGTCAGAAGATGGATAAATGACCTAGACCAGATGGATGAATAACTGGATATGGCTAATGTTACGCCTTTGCTTAAGAAGGGACGCAAGGAGAAGCCTGGGAATTACAGACCTGTGAGTCTGACTTTGGTGGTGGGTAAATTGTTGGAAGTGACTCAAAGACAGGAGTTATACATATTTGGAGAGACAAAGAATGATTAGGGATTGTCAGCTTGGTTTCGTGCAAGGGAAATTGTGTTAACAAACTTGATTGAGAGTTTTTTGAGGAAGTAACCAAGAAGGTTGATGAGGGTACAGCGGCAGACATAGTTTACTTGGACTTCAGTAAAGCCTTCGACAAGGTTACCCGTGGTAGACTAATTAGTAAAGTTAGATCACACATGGGATTCAGGGTGAGCTTGTCAATTAGATACAAAATTGCTTAACAGCAAGAGACAAAGTGGCGCTGAGTCCATTTTGTTTCTCATTTATATAAACGATTTACATGTGAATATAGAAAGCACGGTTAGTAAGTTTGCGGATTACAAGATTGGTGGTATAGTGGGCAGTGAAGAAGGTTACCTAAGATTACAAAGAGATCTTGATCAAATGGGTCAGTGGGCTGAAGAGTGGCAGACAGAGTTTAATTTGGATAAATGGTATTGCATTTTGGCAAAACAAGCAAAGGCAAGATTTATACAATTGAAAGCATGGCCTAATGTTGTAGAAAAGACAGACCTAAGAGTGCAGGTACATAATTCTTTGATGTTTGCATCATAATTAGATAGACAATTAAGCAGGCATTTTGTATGCTTGCCTTCGTTGCTCAGACTTTTTAGTGTAGGAATTGGGACACTATGTTGAAGTTGTACAGGATGCTGGTGAGGCCTTTTCTGGAGTTGTGTGTCCAGTTCTGGACTCCCTGTTATAGGAAGGATATTATTAAGCTGGAGAGGGTTCAGAAGAGATTTAGCAGGATGTTGCAGTGAATGGATGGCTTGAGTTATAAAGAGAAGCTGGGCAGGCTGGCACATTTTTCCACTGGAGCAGAGGAGTTGAGACGTGACCTTACAGAGGTTTATAACATCATAATGGGTACAGATAAGGTGAATGGCAAGTGTCTTTTCCCTATGGTGAGGGATTTGAAGACTAGGGGCATTTTTTTTTTTTAGTTTAAGGTGAGCGGAGAAAGATTGAAAATAATACGAGGGAAAATTCT